TGTGTGTGTGGTAGAAGTATCGGTTTTTGTACTCTGTATCGGCAAGTACTCAGATCCAAGTATCGGTATCGTATCGGTTTGAAAAAATTGGTATCGTTGCATCCCTAGTTACTACTCAGTAATCCTCTTGTTCCAACACTGTTAATCATTCCGATCAAGACTTGAACTAATCAACCATTTGTGAAATTCAATCAGCTTCCTCATGCCATGTGACGACCTGTGTATAGTAGAGAGATTAATCCCATCTCATGGCGTGATATGTGTCTTTCTGGCCTCAGTGGAAAAGGAGATAGTGTCCGTGGAAGTGGCTCGGATGTTGACCCTAGCTGAGCAGTGTCTGGAGCGAGCCAAGTCATTTGTAGGGAAGAGCACCGAGCCCCCCGACCTGTCAGCTTCTGCTTTCTCTTCGGGTTCACCTGGCCTACCAGAGCCCCATCAGACTGCGGTCGTCCCTGCCTCTCACACTGCAGACACTGGTGAGTACGTTCTCCTCCAATCAGAAGCATCTCTTCTACAAACACACTGGTCAGTCACTGCTAAGTTGGAGCCAGGAGTCACAGGTCAGATGTGACCTGCTGCACAGTGTTACGTCATCTCATTGTGTCTTTAGCCTGAGCTCTTGGTCTCTCTGTTTGACTGCAGTCACAGTACCTGCGGGTGGTGCTCCTGTGGCCACAGACCATAAATCCTCGAGTCCCAGAGTGAGCGGTCGCAGCAGGCCATTGTCAGACGAAGCCGAGGAGCCCTCACCTTTCCTGCCTCCCGAAGTCTTCCACAAACTACAAGCAGAAGCGTCGCAGGACACGAGCAAAAAGTAAAGCCTGGTTTTCATCAAGGAGAGTAAATATTGCTCCAGTGATAGAAGCTGGACAAACAAAGAAGAACAGACTTAGTAGTTGCTCTGGATTCCTGTAAAAGCACAGAGTTTTCAAGTGAAACAGCAAACGTGTTGCAGTCGATTTGTTATCTAAATTGACGCCGTGAGTCATGTATTGTTTGTTTATGTGTTTGTGCGCTGCAGGGAGCTGACACCCATCGAAGAAGCCTCACGTTTGAACCAGAAGCTGAAAGCTAATTACGAAGCTCGCCTGGCGAGACTCGCACCTGGTCAAGCCTACCAGAAGACATCTTTGGTAAGTTTGGGAAATGAACTCGTCTCGGTCTGTTGTCACATACGCTACTTTGTCGTCCTTGTTTGAGCACATATTTGGTCCAATTTGCCTGGATATTCAATCACACTTAGTCTTTTTTCCCCTCTAAAGCCACAAGGCTGCCGTTAGTTATCATAGACATAACTTAATGATAATGGTCGCGCTCTGATTGCTGCTTTCTGCTTTCTGCCTCCCGTACTCGCTGAAGTTTGTTGTTCCCTGTCACTAAATGACCGCAGCACACACAATTTGCATGTGTGTGGCACAAATGAAACAAAGGGGGCTTTTTTTGGACATGTAAACATGTAAAATTGTGTTGTTGTTGGGTTTTTATTAAGCTCGGGTTGATGGCAGTGCCACGATTATGTCAAGATACTGTTGATGCTGAGGAACATATACAGGTTTTACACTTTCATGCGGACTTCTATATTTCACATATTGAAACCTTCAGTTCCAGAACTTATATAAGGTGTTGTTAAAGCAGGAGGCGATTCTTAAATGTGCTTCAACTGTCAACTTCAACAAAGTTAAAAATAAATAGAATTTTAATGACTTTTATATCAATCTTAATATAACTTTTAAACTGTAAAACCTTCATTTTATGCTAGCATATTTACCCAGTCACTTCCTTATAATAACAGTGAAGATTATATTTTGATAAAAGGGAAGACAAACGGTTTTTATTCTAATTAGTTTCACTTTGTGGTTCTGAGTGTTTCCTCTCCTACTGAAAAGATGGCCTGTGCTTGACGGACGGTGCAGGTGACATGTTCAGTGCTCAGGATTGGTCCGTCTTTCCTGACATCGTCACTGTCACCAGTATCAGGCTGGGCGTGTTTTAGATGGATTAGCTCTTGGTAAGTGCATTGCTCACAGTTGTCTATAGTGTGCATCAATGAGAGAAAAGCCAAAGTTTCCATAATGAACCAGAACCAGTTCAGGGCTCAGTGTAAATCTCAGAAACTCACCTTCATGTTGATGCTACTTCAATGTATTCCCCCTTACTAAACTCCTCCCCCTTAATGTAAGGCCTTCATCAGCAATGGGCTCTTCAGCAGGGTGCTGCACCCTAACATACTGCAGAGATGTGAGGAGAACCAAAGAACAGGTCAGAGCTGATGGCAAACAGCATTAGAGTGGTGCTTTTTAAGTATTTAACATTAACATTTGAGCACGCTGTGAAAGTACATTCAAAGGTAATTTAAAGATAAGAACACAAATATCCACATTTTACTTTTGTGTGTGATTTGATTTGTTACCTGTAAATGAGGCAAAGAAAGAATTTATCAAAATAAAAGTTTAATGTTGCACAAAAATAGTGTTTATTTCGGTTATGCGAACTAAACGCAGCTAGCCGAGTCAAGTTTCATCGCAATGCCAGACTCACTCACCATCGCACTGTTTTCCCAGCATTACTCTTCACATTCATAATGCTCCATTACATCATGTATTTCAGCAGCTCCAAACAAAAGCTCAGGCAGCAGCCAAAATGTAAATCCTTAAACGACGTGTATTAGTGTGTGTGGGAACGGTTGTGGGAAAACAATGTTTATGTGATTGCTCTTTCTTTTTTGTCTCTGCTCAGCCTAAACACAAATTTGACACACTTTTTCCCTGACTGTGGTCTCCCACCCTGTCAGTAAAATGTTTTTCTGCCTTTGCATTTGTAAATTAAACTTTCTTTGAGTGCCTGGTAGACATTAGTCTCATACACTTTGAATCTTCTTTAAAAGGACCTGTTATTCTCATTTGTTTTGTCTAAAACTTAGATTTAGCTCATTTCTTTTTAAGGCTTTCTTCTGATTGGCTGCCCCTTGCAGACAGGTTTCACCAGCTGGTGGGCGGGGCTTGAATGTACACGCGTTTTTTTTTTTTGTTTTTTTTTTTAAGTTGGATGTATTACTACCAATAGTTTTTATTAGTTTTTTGGTGACCATTGAAATTAAAGTTAATGCTTCAAATAAGTTGGTAAATAGAAATATGAACAGGAATGATAAAATGCGTGAAATATGAATTACAAAGGGGTGTAGATACTTAATCAAAGCCTCTCTGTGCTGCACCACCTGGTTTGTGGATACTGACATCTACAAGTGGTTTATATTAATCTAAGATCTAGGGACATTTATCATACAAATGCAAATAATGAAATTCTACTACAGAGAAGTGGTAAACATTGATTAAGTGCTATTGATTTAGAATAAAATATCCTCAGTTTCTTCTGTTATTCCCCTAATAGTTGTATTTAATATGTATTTAATGTCACAAACTTTGACCTCAGTTTAAGTACTGAATCATTTTCTGCGATGGTAATCAAAATAATGAAACTCTGGTGGAGTAAAGCGCGCTACCTGTGCTTTTATTTTGTATTCTGGTCTTCCGGTTCGCGGTTCCGCTGCTGTTAATGGTGAGTGTGACGGGCGGAGGGAGCAGGCTACCTGAGAGCGTTTTATTTTAGCCGGGTAACGTGTGAGCTACAAAGCAGAACTTTCTCTCGTCG